TATTTCTTCGTACTTGTTCATCCTCGATCGGCAGTTTCGCTTCGTGGCAATGTAGGTAGCGCGAGCAGTTCGTTACACAAGACTTCTTGCAGTGGTGCAGTGTAATTGTAACAGATCATCATCACCTCAATTTAATCAGATTTGAAGAATGCAAAAAGAGTTCCATCATTCACATTAATTGTTTTATTATAATTTGTGATGAAAATATGAGCATTTGCTGCTACTGTCTGTTGTCATTTATATACGATAATTTATTCTTACGTACTTTGTATTTTGTTTATGAAATCCTGTGCTTTCAATAAAACTCATATACCTATATACATATACCTCATATACATTTCTCATTTTATCCGGCCCATTGAAAGCGCTGAATTACCTAATGTGGCCCGCGTTTCGGAAAGTTTGGAGACCCCTGGTCTGGATAATGTGGGACCCTCAACATCTCACAACACTATGGGCCTTCACAGCCTGTTACTTTACTTTTATTATATTGTATATGTTTATCAGTATTTTATTACAAATCTGTATGCTATTGGATGACGACTGTAATTCTTAGTTGTGACTGTAACTAGGACGATCTCCACATCCGCATGAGAATGTATTCTCAGCAGGATTTATGGAAGGTGAATAAATGAATGAATGAATGAATAATACATTGGTACTCCAAAATATTGCTAACTTAGTAGCGGGACTCTCGAATTTTGGAAGAAGGATTGTAGATAGCAATGCTTAAAGTCATGAGACTTGAATTTATTAATTATGTTGTACCTTACAAAAACCGTAACCAAAATCTTGAACTCAACCAGTTGTACCATACTAAAATATCAACCAGAGAATTAACTTAACCTCTGCCAAACCAAGTGTGTTCCAGAATATACTCCACCCATCCACTGGCCTTTTGGAGTATCACAGATCCTGGACATTTTAAATTTCATGTCAGCTATCCAAACCTGCCTTGGCAGGAGTTGATATTACCAAAGTGATGCATCACAATATCGGAGCAAGAACATCATAAGCACACATGTCATATTCTGATGGCTGATCGGGTATTCATAAGGAAACTGGCATGTGAAAAGATTGAGTAGACCTATACATATGGAGCTACTTCACCATAATTTCAGTTCTTCCCTACCAAACATTTAAATCTCTCCTATGATTGTTATAGAAATAAATTTCTTTTCAGAATGTGTGAAGGAGAAAAACGAAAACTGGTGGTTCCTTCAGAGCTTGGCTATGGTACATCAGGAGCACCACCCAAGATTCCAGGAGATGCAACACTGATATTTGAAGTAGAATTAGTAAAGATAGATAATAAAGATGAATTCTGAGATTGTGTTGACTTTTAAAATAATGGTTGCTGTTCAGTAAGTTACTCTCACGCCACCATATTTTTTGTATGTTTATGCATAGTAATGTGATAATAGCATGTTCTGAAGGGTGGTTATATCAAAGTAAAGGAAATTAAGTTGTTTAGGTTACCAACAGATAGTGAAAGAAATGTGAATTCTGCTGCTGCATAACAATATATTAACCCTTTAAAGACTGAATTTCATCACAATTATATATAATAATTCACTCAGAATTACTGGTTTTTTTTTACTTTTCCCATTTTCTGATATTCTAAAAACTAGAGAACTCAATGTTTCAGTAACTAAATCTGTTTCTGTCCTCAGGTGAGTGGGAGATACCTACTCTGTTGGGTCCCTTAGAAAGAGCTCACCACAATCAGTCCAGTGATTGACTTTTTAGAATGCCGGATGATGGACAGAGTCCAAAAATTCAGGATTTCTGAGTGTTTTACACCTTTGTCAGAATCCTTTAGAATCTACATGTTCCTCGCAGGAAACGCATTATGTCTTCACTAAAGAGACTAAAGGTTAATGATGTTTAGGGAAATAATAGCTGTTTATTGTGAGAATTATATGAAACAAATATACTCTGGGCAGAATGCCAAGTTTTAGTATTTTAAAGAAGGTACAGGAAACTTTGGGTGCCATAAAATCTTGGGAAGTGCTTGAATAACTGCACAATTGGTGGTTTTTTCAAGAAAGTTTCAGCTCCATGAAGTTAGTTCAAGAAGGTGGTACAGTGAGGAATGTGGTATCATGGCCCGAGCTCCTGATGGATAAATGGGTTCACAATTTGTATTACCCCCACAGTCTGATACTATTTTAAACAATTACAATCATTGTTTCACTGCTACATGTGGTTGCAACCTACATAGGGAATTTTAAGGATCAGTTTCACTTGAACTTGAAGACAAAATGTGTAAGTAAATCATAACTCCAGACTAAATTATGGCTAGCAAGATTTTAAGTTGATACATGAACTATGTTACTTCTGATTCATTTAATTTTTATTGAACCTGTTTTACAGGTGATAAAAATATAAAATGTTTGTAAATATGTCAAGTTAACCAAAATTATTGACCACCAGTGCTAAATTGGTGATTCTCATGTAATGTATTTAAAACCCAGTCAGTCTCTACTGGGCCTCTACAGCAGTGTTTCTCAACCGCTGGGCTGCAGCCCTGTAATAGGCCCTCGTCTTCTAAGAAAAGAATTTACCAGGCCGTAGTCTCACAAATGTTGAGAATCACTGCTATATAGCATTCCACATGTCCTGAAATGTCGGTATTATTATGTGTCAGATGTTTTTTGCTTCAAATTGCATTGCATGAGGACACGTCCTTTATCACATCTTTGATTTATTTATTAACATGAGCTATATGTGTTCATCTTGGTGATCTGTGTTTACCAGTGTGGACCATTATTCCCCACTTTAATAAATTTTATCCATGACAAACTACTAGATTCTAACATAATGTTACATACATATAGACAGACACAGTACAGCTAATGCGGTGTCTTGTGTCCATGGGGCAATGAAGCTGTCTCCCTGAATGCCGTACGCAATACCAATCTAATATATGCTCAAAAGTTGTCACATGTGCCTGATTGCTATTTATAAATTCCATAAGTCAGTATTATTTTGTGTGCTTAATTTATGTTTAATGTTTTAGTTAGCTTCTTCAGTTTCATTATCCATACTTTACTGCTACTAACATTACAGTGTTTGCTCTTATTCATCTCCCATTGTCTTGTGGGCCTTTCTTGTCTTAAGTGCTGATATTGTTTTTATGTGATTAGTGCAGGCACAGAACTCTGATTGCCGCCTGCTTCTTGCTGATTACTTACTTGGATTTTTCTTTGGCCCTGGCTGTGGAAGGAGTATGTTCCTCTAAAAGCATTGGTGAGCATCCTTCAGACTACATGCTGTCACATCCCAGACGTCATAGTTGCCACTTATAGGACCTCAGATCCAACTCAGATGATGGTTTTGTCCTGGAAACATCTTCTCATCAGCTAGCATGGGCTAAATTGAATTTTGTTGTTGCATAATAAAGAAATTCATGAACCTTTCCCCATCTAGCATTGTGTAGGCACATGCAAACTTAACCCCGCAAAACTTATTCCCATTCCCTACACACGCACATATCCTATTATGATTTTTACCTTAACTGGAAATTGAGAATGCGTTTTGAAGTTTTGTGATGAAATTGATAAATGTAACAGATATAAATGTATTCATTTGTATTGATGGTTGGAAGAAACAAGTATTTAAAGCCTTGTCCAGAATCACATTGAATGTTGCTCACTTTTGTAGGTTTATATTCTTAAATGTAGCTTAATATGTGATGATTGTATCTGTATGATATGTTATTTTGAGCACAATGTAATTTCAGTCTGCCCATCCACCATTTCTTGTTAGGAAAGTGGTTATGAGTTGAGAACAACATGAAACAATAAGAAAAATAAAGTATTTTTTGATAATGGCATATGTTTACTGTCTTAAAGAACTGTTAGTGTTTTGATTTTGTTTTCTTGTTTCTTGCTTTTTCAATTACTGTAAGGGAAGGTAAAATAAATTAAGTTTTAGTATACCTCAGAACATGTTGGCAGTGCTGAAATAGTAGTTGATGTGCTCAATATGAAGCTTCCCTCATATGCACCACTACAGTGATTCATTTTCAGTGCCTTATGCTGTTAACATCGTTACTGTGTTGGTGGAATGCACCAAACAAGAACATTGGAGCTGTGAAAACTAATGAAATTATTAAACAAAAATTTGATATGGTGATAACTATGAGTTAGAGGAAAGTTTATGAATGCATGGAAAAATTAAGATTTGAAGGAGGTTGCACAAATGTTAATGGGCATGCAGAATGGCCAATAATTGTAATGTCTTAACAATGTGTTTCTGGACATTAACACTTGTCCTGCTTTTATTGAAAAAACAATGTTCTGGAGACTGGATTTTTTTCTCTTCAAGTGGAACCTACTCTGTTGCGCCCTATCGGTGGAGCTAGTCCCTGTGTCTGGAGAGAAGAGGAGGTAGGGACTAGCTCTATCGATTGGGCCCAACTGAGCAGGTTCTACCTGAAGAGAGAGACAGAATCAGTCTCCAAAACTTCGTGTGTTTTAAATAAAAACAGGATAGTCGATAATGTCCAAAAACCAATATTTGTATCAAGGACAGTCCAGGAATCAGCATTGATCAAAATTGCAAATGAGATTTAATAAATCCCAACTGAAAACATTTTATCTATTGAATTAGTAGATTGTACCAGTATGTAGGAAATCAGGGTGATGCATAAGATGTCAGATTCATTAGGTTAATCTTGTTTTTGCTATTTATTTTCATAGAAAGCTTTGTTGACTTGACTAGTCAGATTAAGTAAACAAGGAGAATTGTATTAATAGGAGGTTAGCATAAATGTCAAGAATTTGTCACCCACTGGAACAGTGGTATCCTGGGTTTGAATCCCTCTTGAATGCGTTTATTTTGTATTTGTGCTGCCCGTTGTGGATAGCAGCATTGCGAGGAACTGATAATCTGTGCAAGGAGTAGTACCAAGTGTCTGTGAGATTCGAATTTAAGAATTAATTCTGGATTGCCACACACTGGAGAACAATCCCCAATTTAAAATTTGCATATTGCTGTCCCTATATACGTATTTTTTTCGTTTAATCAACGCTCAAGGGTATATAATGAGATTATTTATTTATTTTCTGTAAGCATGAATGTAATTTTATACAGTTAGGGTTTGAGTAATTTATAGAAAATAATTTTTAACTTTCGATATAGTATATAAGGTATCCAGCAGGTGGCAGAATGTACCAATTAAGATTGTCTCGCCATCTGACACACATTCCCCATACTAAGATGATATTGCAGTGTCACCAACATAACCACATAAAAGGGTCGTATGTTTTATCCAGTAGGTACAATGACGCGATGCTGCCGAAGAAGATTATCAAAAAAATTCCTGGGAATATATTGGAACCTTCACGTCGTGAAAAGCAAGGATATATTGATGACTTGAACACAAAAACCAAAGCAGAATTGCTTGAACTCGTAGAAAGACAAGACAAGCTTCTTACTAATAAGTGAGTGAAATACTGAGGTTAGAATTGTAATGCCACTAATAATTTGTATCAACGTAGACTACTTATGCGTATATTGTAGTATATAGATGGTAGAGTGAATTAGAAGCACTGTTTTTAATTCTGTTGGATGTGTAACAGTACATTGCAGTATTCCCCTCCATCACATCAGAACCTGGAATGTGGATGATTGTATTTTTCTGGTTTAATGATACCTTTCATTGCCGATAACCGCAACATTCGAATTCAGTGGCAAGTTAAGGGGTTCTATCAGTATCTTTATTTTAATTACATAGATCCTTAATGTCTACCAAAGTCAGCAGATATAGAAAATGTCATATATGCATATGTCAGATCAAAACACAAAACTAGTCACCTTACAACTACATTCACAAAAGAAACAATAATTATACATAATTCAGTATTTTAACAAGCATATAGGACTCTACAGTAATACCTTATTAAGATCATAGCTTAAATATATAAACAAATATCAGATTATAATCAGTCAATTTATACAATGTACTATATAAACAGCATGATAAAATGTTTAATTTGTCTTGTATTTAAAATATTCTTCTAATTTATAAAATAAATGGAAATACAAACAATTTTTCAAAGCCGATTTAAGATTTTTTGCATTATGGGACAAATCCTTTATTGGAACAGGTAAATTGTCAAACACCTTAGTCCCAGTGTAATATGTTCCCCTATTATAAACTGAGAAATGAGATGGTGAGTGATGCAAATCAGATTTGGTCCTAATATTAATATTATGAATCTCAGAATTTACTTTAAAATTATGTTTATTATTGATCACAAATAATGAATGTGTGTATATAAGTGGTAATATTTTTAATTCTCTAAAGTATTCACTACATGAATCTCTATCTCTAATCTGCACCATAATTCTGATAGTTCTTTTTTTGTAGTCTAAAAATTATATTGCTATAACAAGAAAATCACCAAAATATTAGTCCATGAGTCATGATTTTCATTTTTCATTTCATTTATTCACCTTCCATAAGTCCCGTCGAGAGTACATTCTCATGCGGATGTGGAGATCGTCCTAGTTACAGACACAACTAAGGATTACAGTTGTCATCCAACAGCATACACATTTGTATAAAATACTGATAAACATACACAATAAATAAATAAGTTCATTTTAGTTGTAAAAGTAATGGCAAGCCTTATACAATTTGTACAGTTTTATACAAGTCTATTAATTAAAAATTCAATAGTTAAAACACAATGTCATTAATGAGTTTTGTATAACATACATTAATTATATAATAAATTGAAATAAAGACTATTATACAGTAATATAAAGATTGTGTATATCAAAATAAGCATCTATAAACCAGAACACAGACTGACAGTCTTGTCTTCTTTTAATTGTAAAGCAAGACAACTAGTCGGATCTTAAAAAGATTTATAACTAAAATATTCCTATAAAGAATAAAAAGAATGTAAATATAAAAATTGTTTTAATTGTACCTCAATACAGTGAAAATAGGAATAATATACCATCTTCAATGTTTTTTGGGACAAGAATGGCATAATTGTTCTAATCACAAAGCAAGCTGAACTCAGTGTGTGTACAACTATAGCTATATGAGTCTTCCAAGAAAATGCGTTGTCCATTGTTAGTCCAAGAAATTTTGTATGACAAATATTAACTATTTTCTTGTTCCCATGCATTATATTTAAATAAATTAAAGAACTAATCCTACTTATAAATTGCATAAATTGTGTCTTATCAACATTTAGTTATAAGAAATTTGTAGTGAACCATCTATTTATATGTTGAAAAACTTTATTAACACTGTGTTTGAATTTCTAAGGTTATGCGGTAGCATAGTGGTTAAGGCACTATGCTGCAAGTTGGAAGGTCGCGGGTTCAAATACCGATGAGGTCATTGGATTTTTTTCAATTGACCTAATCCTTCTGGCCGCACTATGGCCCTGGGATTCACTCAGCCTCTAACAGAAATGAGTACCAGGATGAAATAATTAAATAGTTACGCGGCCCATAAGGCTGACAACCTTACCGCCATCTTTGAGCCAATTGTGTAGATAATGTGGGACCCTCAACGTGTCACAACTCTATGGGCCTTCATGGCATGTTACAAGGATAGCTTTACTTTTTTTACTTAATGATTACATTAGTGTCATCTGCAAATAGAACGATTTCAGCATTATCATTTACTGTTTTGCTAAGTAAGTTGGATAGGTTGAGTAGGCCTAGCCGAGTCATTGTTAATGTTGACGGCTGTATGTATGCAGTCACTGCAGAAAATGGTAAAGACCCCCTGCCTTCTTAAGCTCCACACCATGAAGATGTATGTGGGAATGGAGGTATAGTGCCATTATTCTTGTCTTCAGAACTAGATGGATGTGAGTTTTCTGCCTGACTTTCCAGCTGCTTTACCCCCACAGAAAGCGCTCCTGGTACCCATTAGACAGGATGCTGGATGGCCCATAGAGCTGGTCTCAACACTGTGAAGTAGAGAGAAGTCTTGCCCCTGCTGGAAATTAAACCCCAGCCATCCAGCCCATAGTCCATCACTATACTGACTGAGCTGTCCCAGCTCCACACTTTTTTCATGGACTCTCTATATCAGACAGTGCTGTGATAAAACGAACCCAACAGAAGAAAACTGTATGGGGCATTCCAGAAAAACATTATAAATGAAATTTTATTAGTGGATGAAGTATTGTATAGGCCTTTATTATTTTCAGTTCCTGTAACATTTAAATTCATGCTGTGCTATGTGTAGAAAATCCCTGTCAGATAACTTGTTCTCCAGAGCGTTATTGTATCTATCAGGGGGGCAGTCAACAATAAGCATCCACTGTAAAAATTGTATTGCCATTTCAATTATGTGATTTGAGCCATTTGTTTTGTATTGCAACATTATACCACAACATTTTTTAATGGCTTTTCCAGCCCATTCACGGTAACCGTAACCATTTTTTTCACAGACAGTAGAACTCCTTGAATGAGTGATCAGCTCATCACAAGGCTGCTACCTAAACACACGGCAACACAAATACAGAATAAATGCATACACACCCAAACATCTACGCCTTAAGTGGGATTCAAACCCACGATCCGAGCATCTGAGCAAGGAAAGATAGTTCATGCTCCGAACTGTGCGGCCACTGTGACCGGCATCACATAACATTACCTCACTGTATTCTTACTGCAACTACGCATTAACTAAGTAGCTGGCTTTCTAATGTCATTTTATTTTTGTAATCTAAGAAAGTTGTTTTGGAAAATTTATTTTTACAGCATTCTGTTTTGCAGAAGTTTCTTGAGGAAGTTACCAGACAAAGGTGAGAAAATATCAAAATTTCGAACCCTGCTAGCAGAAGAACTGTCACGGAGAGATGAAGTTGAAAAAGTATGTGACAAATTTTCTGGTTTAAATGTTGGGAAGTCTGGTATGTTGGATGAGATAGAATGGACAGGAAAGTATTCTCAAACTGTCCGTGAGAGCCCTCTGTTGGACAGTGATGATGAAAGTGATGAAGAAAGAAACCCACTCAAAATACTCGCAACCCAGTCTGGAGTTGGCACATACAAGAAACGGTATGTGACTGAAGAACCAGAAGAAAGACTTATTAAGCCTGAAGATCTGAAGGACGCGGAATATAGTGTTAGTAACAGAAGAGAAGGAAGTGAACCAATGGAAGATGCTTATGTAAAACATTTGTGTGATAAATTTGAAAAACAAAGAGAAAAGAAGAGGGAGCCATTTAGAACTCACCGTATAACAAAAACAAAACCAGATGAACAGTCAGTTAACATTCAGCAGAGCAAGAAGCCCTTGGGCCCACACTGGGAGGTAACAGCTGCCACCCCACCACCACCCATTCATGGAGACGTGAAACTTATCAACTTACAGGAGTCTCTTCATCTTCAGAAAGAGCAGGCAGAAAAATTAAAGGTACTGGTGATTACTTATCTTGCAAATGTATGAATTTAAGATTATTTAAAAACAATGTGAAAACTAAAAGGAATACAAATTTGTGGCTTTGATACTGTAAAACAGTAATGTCTTACAATACAAATGTAAGTTTAATATACAGAAATGAAGTAACCAGAACATCCAGTCTGGACAAGTCATGTCAGATTTCAGGTTCTCACAGCAGTGGTTATGAAGCGTTTTGGCTTCTGGGGTATAATGCCATTCGGTTCATTGAAAGTCAGTTTATGTTTCAGAGGAACATGTGCTCTCCATCTTCAGGACCAAAGAATAAGTAAGAACCAGCATGAAAGCTCTGCTTCCCACATTCTTTTTTTTCCCCCTTATCGTATTCTTTGATCTTGAAGATGGAGGTGACCTGTTACCCCAAAACATCAGTTGACTTTCAATGGACTACACATTATTATATGCCCAAAACTATAACTTTGGACAACTCATGTCTTTAACATGGCATAAATTCATAATCTCTAGTGAGTAGCCCAAATTCTTGAATAGGCCTACTTCGTGAATTTAGGCTAGATACTAAAAATACGAAGGGGGGCACTTGGTAGCATAGTTGGTTGAGGCACTATGCTACAAGCTGGAAGGTCGCAGGTTCAAGTCCCGATGAGTTCATTGGATTTTTTTCAGTTGACCTATTCCTTCCAGCCGCACCATGGCCCTGGGGTCGAGTCACCCTCTAACAGAAATGAGTGCCAGGAATTAATTAAATAATTTTCCTGGGGAGTAAAGCGCCGCCAGCGTGTAAAGCTGACAACCTTACCGCCATCTTTGATCTGATTGTCTAGATAATGTGGGACCCTCAACGTCTCGCAACCCTATGGGCATTCACGGCCTGTTACAGGGATAGCTTTACTTTTTCATTTTTTTGCTAAAAATACGAAGGTGCCAAGATGTTGCAACATTCCACATGGGGACTGCTTGCTCTACAATTTTGCTTTTTCTCACATATTAGTTCAAACATGTCCATTGCTGGTGTTTCTTATTCCTGTTTTGATGCAGGATATCCAAGCTAAGCAAGCAGCTGAGAAACTGAAGTCTCAGTTGGGCCTGATGATGGGTAATACATTATTAGATCCATCCCTGCACTTAGGGTATCGTGACGAGCCCCATCACACAGATTCAAGCAGCAGTTCAGAAGATGAAATGGCCAATAGTGAGGGCGAACAAGAAGATGAAGAGCCAGAAAAGGATGGCGCTGTTGTTTATAATATTGTTGATTAAACTTTTGAAAAGAGTTACTGCAGGATTGGCCATGTTATGGTTCAATGAATTATTTATAGAATTTCAGAATTTTGAAAGATGATGGCAACTGTAATTAAAGAACTGACTTTGATGTAAATTGTACCATATTGGTACACCATACATAATAAACCATTTATTAAAATTATTATTTTGGTGTTTGATTCCATATACGGTATAGAAACTGGCTACAGGCTGATTGGCTGAGGGGTCGGAGTTGAAGTCCCGTTAGGGTCAAGAATTTTCTCCACTCCGCAGCATCCAGACCAGCTCACCCAGCCTCCTGTCCAATGGGTACTGCGGGAGGCCTTTCCCCGGGGTTAAAGCAGCTGAGGCGTGAAGCTGACCACCCACAACTAGTGCCTAGGCCAAGAAAATGTAGATCTATACATCCACTTCCCCTGACATATTTTTTGCGTTAGTGCTTAATTAGTTAAGCATAGGGATATCTTTACCTTTTTACCTTCCGAAATGTAGTTCCTTGAGCTATGGAAATTCATAAAATTTATACCAAAATTGAGTGCAGTGCAAGGGAGATTGGCTTTATAAATGGAAAGATGAATTCACCCCTGTGCCTAAGCATGTATTGCATTGGGATGTAAAGGCAAAGTCCCACACATTTTGTCGTGTGTGTTCAATCTATTTGATCCTTTTGCGTGTCATGACAACTAAACTAGAATCGGGGGCAGGGGGCCATAAATGTGCATGTGCATACCAACTAGTCACTGTTACTCTCTTTCTTATAATTTTATTTTTAGTGTGCTTTCAGTATTCTGTAGGAATTACTTATGTTGCTTTTGTTACTTAGTATGTCAGGCTCCTGTATATATATCCTTGTAATAACTGGGTCCTGATTTTAATAATACTTACAGTTCACATCATGCCCCCCATTTTCGTGTTATTCTTTTTATAGCTAACAGCATCATACTGTAGTGGCCACGTCATAGCTCAAGCAGTTAGTTACTGGCTTCCTACCGCTGCGGCCCGGGTTCGATCCCGGGTCTCGTCAAGTGGGATTTTTGGTGGACAAAGTGGCGCTGGGGCGGGTTTTCTCCGAGTACTTCGGATTCCCCTGCCAATCTTCATTCCACCAAATTCTCCGTTGTCATAATCACCCGGGGCAGGCTACAGTAAGCCAATCAGTGGCCTCCGTGCCAAGTGAACCCATTTGGACTCCACCCCCCACCAAGCTAATTAAAAAAAAAAGCATACTGTAGTTGTGGAAGTGAAATAATCTTAATTCAATAACAGCCCTCCAATTTTGTACAAAAATAGTTCTTGATAGAATGAGCTATTTATGTTATGTTCAAAGTTATAACATGTGTAATAGAAGTTAATTATTTCGCAAAATGCCATGTTGGTAATGTTGATATTGTATATTTAACCCGTCCCCTTACTGGTTTTCTTATTTCTTCATAATAAAATAATTAGTCTCCTTTTTTACAAGTTTTGAACATGGAAGGTAAAGTTGTCCCTGTGCTTAATTAATTAAGCACTACGCCAAGAAGGCGTTTGGGGGAGTAGATGTACAGATCCATATTTTCTTGACTTCAGTATTAGTTGGAGGTGAATGGTCAGCTTCACGCCCCACCCGTTTTACCCCTTGGGAAAGAGCTCCCAGTATTCATTGGCTAGGAGGGTGATTTTGGACATCTTGGAGAAGAGAAAAATCTTGACAGTACTGGGATTCGAACTCCGACACCGCTGTCGTCCAGCCCGTAGCCAGTCGGTATACCAGCTACCCTATCAGGGCTCCCAGAAGTCTTTGAACATAGTTACTTTTTTGTGTGTAACCTCTCAAAGGGCGAACATGTATTTAGTACTAGATGAAAGCCCGTGATTTATTTTCTTCAGAATCAGGCACATCCTGCCGTCTTACTTTTCATATATCAAGCCATCGAATTTATGTCTGTGCAAGTACGTGCATGTGCTAATCTGGGTGCTGCTCAGCGACACGGTGTCCATGCGGGGTTCAATGAAAAGCGGCCCGTTGGTCCATGCGTTTTAGTAGCGAGGGGGCAGCCAGAGAAACGCATGCGCAGACCCGTAGGAATGCGAACCTGACACACGAGGATACGGCCGACACTATGCTTTTTACAGCGATAATGAAAAAGATTTGTGAGGAGGTGGCAGCCATTTTAAAGTTCTAGCTCTCTCTTTTACTTGGAGGCAGGTCAGTATCCTCACAGAGACCCGAACCAGGTATTCTCCGAATGCAAATTAGGCTCTTTGTCACTTAGCTGATCTTTTTAGTAACTATGAATTTTATAGTATTTCCTACACTGCTGGATCTTCTCGTACGTTCTGTACTCGAGACTGAACATCGACAGCATACTGGTGTCAAAAATGTGTAAATAACAAGACACTGTCTATACATTTACGATAATTTGGCTACAGCTTTATTTTAAAACCTTAATTTGTATCGTAATAGGGCCGCGCCATAGCTCAAGCGGTTAGTGCCTGGCTTCCCAAAACGGCGGCCCGGGTTCGATCCCGGGTCTGGTCAAGTGGGATTTGTGGCGGACAAAGTGGTGCTGGGGTGGGTTTTCTCCGAGTACTTCGGTTTCCCCTGCCAATCTTCATTCAACCAAATTCTCCATCATCATAATCAACCGGGGCAGACTACAATAGGTCGATCAGTGGCCGCCGTGCTGAGTGGATCCAGCTGGACTTCACCCCCCACTAAGCGAATGTTATATCATAATAACTTGTTTTTTTATTTATGGTTTATTTAATGACGCATTCAGTAGCTAAGCTGTAGAGTCGAAAGATAGAATGATTAGTGAATAATAAATTGCAGAGGATAGATAGACCAAGGCGTAAGTGGGTGGACAATATTAAAATGGATCTTAGAGAGATAGGATAGGGTGGTATTGATTGGATTGATCTGGCTCAGGATAGGGACCAGTGGGGGCTCTTGCGAACACGGTACTGAACCTTAGGGTTCCATAAAATGCTGGGAAATTCTTGAGTAGCTGCAGAATTGGCGGCTCCTCCAGAAGGGCTCAGCTCCATGAGTGAGTGAGTAAGTAAGTAAGAAATTCATCAGTCACATTGTGGTCAGGCGGTTAGTCCCCGTCTTTCCAACCCGGCGGCCCGGGTTCGGTTCCAAGTAACTATGGGGAATTTGTGATGCATATGGTGACTCCATGGTTCGGTGCCATTCGTCCACTGTTCCTGATATCTTCGGCGATATTGATTTTTGTGTTATACAACGGGGATATTGTGCTGCATAATTAACAGAGTGTCAAGTGATAAAGCAATTGTGACATCTTTAAGATACTATTATCCCAGCATGGGCTGGATCAGAAAGCACGCAATATCCCAATCGGAATGACGGCTCTTCTGATTTCAGGGTCTCTTGATTATGAAACAGCATGGACAGCCATTCGAAGGCAATATCTGGCTTGCTCCTCTGGCACGGATGTATGTATATGTATCTATATTCCTTTATATTAACATTTTCACCGTGTTTCATGATCACAGTTTTATTTTACCTTCAACCACGTATTTGAGGACATGCAGGCCCTTTTCGACTTAAGATGTTTCGATTTACGTTAAACCGCTGGCCGCGCCATAGCTCAAGCTGTTAGTCGCTGGCTTCCCGCCGCGGCTGCCCGGGTTCAATCTCGGGTCTAGTCAAGTGGGATTTGTGGTGGACAAAGTGGCACTGGGGCGGGTTTTCTGCGAGTACTTCGGTTTCCACTGCCAATCTTCATTCCACCAATTGCCCCACAATCACCATCACCTGTCATCTGGGGCTGGTACATTAGGCCAGAAGTGGCCGCAGTACAAGGGACTTAGTCCCACCTCACTAGCAATAAAAAAATACGTTAAACCGGGACTCAATTCATTGCTACCTGGAAATCGGCATCCCATGCCTTACTCCGGACATGCGCCATTTCGACCTCTGATATTCAAGGATTTTCAGCACTCGGAATCAACGGTTTTGTTCACACTTTCGATAGATGCCCAGTTATACAGTACGACTCGTCACACTGTCGTAATCATAATGTAGATTTAGCTTTGCGGGTATTAATTTATTGATTGCTTTAAGTCTGAAGAATGTTATTTTACACAGGGCTGGATTTACAATTGTTGGGGGCCGCAGGACAGTCAAAATGTGGAGGCCTTTATCAGTGACAAAAAATTTATATTATGAGAATTCTTTTTAGTCTACTTTCCTTATTTAAAAATATTTTGGTTGTTCTTATTTCTTATAGTAACTAAAAATACAAACTAACTTTTCATGATTTTAGAAAAGCGAATGTTTCAATAATCTGTAGATTCTATTTGTATTTTGTAGAGACTCCAGGCCCTCCCCCTTTAAATTTGGCCCTGACTATACCATTTTTTTTAAACTCATTGTATCTTCAACTATTAACTTATAGGCTAAATAAGGTTTGTTGCATACTATTTCCCAGCTTCTGCAACGTATCTTAATATATAACGTTCAGTTCTGTGGGAAAATGATATTCAGCTATTAGAACCATTAGCTGGAGACTGCACATACCCGTACAGTGTTCCGTTCTTGGAACTAAAACTCGTATAATTATGACTGATAAATTCTTGGATTATTTAAGGAAGTTTTTGCAGCTTTATACGTTATCACTGTTTCCATAATTATGTAGACAGTTATTTTTACTAAAAGGATACTTGAAATAAAACAGTGATTTTTTTTCCTTGGCACTACAGCCCCAGTGGGCCTAGGCCTACATGAACTCCGTTCACTTCGGTTTTTCTAGCTCTTACACATACGGTAGGACTCCTTGGGCGAGTGATCATCTCGTCGCAAGGCCTCTACCTGTAGACAAACACAGAAAGACGCACACAAACAACCATGCCTTGAGTGGGATTCGAACCCAAGATCTCGGCTTCCGATCGAGCGAAGAGAGTGCATGCCTTAGACCGCTCGGCTACCGTGACCGGCAAAACAGTGATTATGAACTGCAATTTATCACACTTAGCCCATCACTTAGTCGTTTATCGTCTCCATAAATCTTTCAGAAAATAAGACGCTGGGGTACATAAATTTTTTAGTCTTTTGAATGTAACGTTTAATACGTGTGATTATTTAATATTTCAGGATTGTCTGTTTCTGTAATATAGTGTCCTCACTTTCCTCCACGAAAATGATGTGTGTGTATAG